ATACTTTATTGTTGGTGGATAGAACTTCGGAATTTTATCAATACGCGGCGCTAGTTTGCATGAATTAGTGATTTCCTTGTTTTTGTGATATCTTGAAATCCTTGCCATCTTGGAAGTTGCTTTCTTCGGCGAAGTTGTTTAGTGGAGCAAGACCTTATTGTTGGCGGATAGAAGTTTGGAATTTTATCACTACGCGGCGCTAGTGATTTCCTTGTTTTTGTGATATCTTGAAATTCTTGCCATCTAGGAGGTTGCTTTCTTCGGTGAAGTTGTTCAGTAGATCAAATCCTAATCCTAAGTAACAATTTGGGTTTTATAAGGGTTCTGAAGACCATTATCTCGACTTGTAGAGTGCTTTAAAACCACGATAAAACTTGCAATGTTACTTGGGAATGTTTGGTGGACAGAAGTTTGGAATATCCTCACTACGCGGTGCTAGTATGCATGTATGTGTGATTTCCTTGTTTAGGAATATCTTGAAATCTTTGCCATCTAGGAAGTTGCTGTCTTCCGCAAAGTTGTTCAGTGGATCGAAATGTATGAACTGATTGCAGAAAAGGAAACAACTGTTGAAGAAGTACTTGAGATGCCAGCACCAAGCGCTCAAGAATTTAAGGACCAACACCAAGAACTAACCGAGCTGCAGCGCTTTGTCACTCTCGACACGAACGAGGAGCGCCGGACTAAGGTTTTCGAATTGCTGACGGAATGTGAAAGTCTTCTTTTGGGATGGAAGGAATAAACTGAGATGTAATCGTTTGTATTTTTTTATATATACAAATACTGCCGTTATACGCATAAGAGTCCCACGGTGTATAAGTATTGCATAGAACATGGGACCGTTATGCGTATAACGGCAGTATATATCAAATGTAAAAAGTACACTATCAGAAACCAAAGTAAACATTGATTGATCAAAAACCAAATTCTCATTTATTTATTTTTCGAAACGGGAAATTCAACATGACAGTCCACATACTTAATAAACGTTACAAATTTCCACCAAAAAGATTCTGTGCTTCGTTTCATTTCCTGATTAATTTTTACAACCATACCAAATATGATTGTTATTTAAATTTCAACTCTCTACACGCAAACTAAAACTAGCAGCTGGGTGAAAATTACGAAGGAATGATAGAAGAGATATTTCTGAATGACGAAGTCGCCTCTCCTTGACTACTTTCCATGTTGGAATTTTCTGTTGCTCGAAGTCGTCTCCTGCAGCAAACAATGTTTAAGGGCAGATTTCATAATGTAATATTTTCCTTAAATGACAGGTTTTTGTTATAAAGCACGAATAACATCTCACATATACATTAGCAGGACGAATTTGCCAAATTATCAACTAATTTATTTTTAAAAATGAAGGTCTTGGTCCACTGAACAACATTTCCGAAGACAGCAACTTCCTATATGGCAAGGATTTCAAGAAATCACATGAACAAGGAAATCACAAATTCAAGCACACTAGCGCCGCGTAGTGAAAAAATGTCGAACTTCTGTCCACAAACCATTAAGTCTTGATCCACTGAACAACTTCACCCAAGACAGCAACTTTCTAGATAGCAAGGATTCCAAGATATCATACAAACAAGGAAATCAAAAATTCAAGCACACTAGTGCCGCGTAGTGAGAAAATTTCGAACTTCAGTTCACCAATTATTAGATCTTGATCCACTGAACAACTTCGCCCAAGACAGAAATTTTCTATATGGCAAGAATTTCAAGATATCATATAAACAAGGAAATCACAAATTCAAGCACACACAGCAAAAAATTAATTTTGATATCACATCAAAGTAGATGCACTTCAATCGTGTCAAAAATAGGGTGAAATATTACTTGCCAAAAAGGAAAAAATTATCATTAATACAGTGCATGAACTTACATTACTCTGCTTTTACTGCATTTGTTTATGTTTGTGGCCATAAAAATTACATGAGATTTTCGGCATGGTTGAAGTGCATCCTCTTGGATGTGATTTTAAAATTTATTTTTGCTGTGCACTATTTTAAGATATAACACGAGCAAGAAAATCACAAATTCAAGCACACTAGTGCCGCGTAGTGAAAAAATCCCAAACTTCTGTCCACCAATCATGAGGTCTTAATCCACTGAACAACTTCGCCGAAGAAAGCAACTTTCTAGATGACAAGGATTTCAAGATATACCACGATCTAGGAAATAACAAATTCAAGCACACTAGCGGTGCGTAGTGAGAAAATTCCAAACTTCTGTCCACCAACCATTAGGTATTGATCCACTGAACAACTTCCCTCAAGACAGCAACTATCTAGATGGCAAAGGTTTCAAGATATAACACAATCAAGGAAATCATAAATTCAAGCACATAGCCTAGCGCCGCGTAGTGAAAAAATCCCGAACTTCTGTCCACCAATCATTAGGTCTTAATCTACTGAACAACTTCGCCGAAGAAAGCAACTTTCAAGTTGCAAGGATTTCAAGATATACCACGAACTAGGAAATAACAAATTCAAGCACACTAGCGATGCGTAGTGAGAAAATTCCGAACTTCTGTCCACCAACCATTAGGTATTGATCCGTTGAACAACTTACCCGAAGACAGCAACTTTCTAGATGGCAAGGTGAAAACCCGCTTTAAAAAGAAATAGAGTTCAAACAGGACCGCACAGATAAAAAATCTGAATTTTAATTGTGATGTAAACATTCATTCACGCACCCAACCGAGGGATGTAAGATTCGCTTACAATTATGTGGGATTCATCATCAGAGGATGTTAGTGGAGACCGCATGAACCGAGGATGCGATATACCTAGCTGCGGACCAATGCAAGAAAATTGGAGACCGAAAAATGTAGAGTGTATTAGTGAGGTAAATTAGTTATGTCGAAAAAAATAGGAATCCGATTGCCGACTGGACTCGAACCAAGAACGCTTCGATTATCAGACCTGTGCTTTCTCCAATGCGCTCTCCATGCTCCTGAATATGGATAACCTAAAAGCAAACATGAAGCGCTCATTTTCTCGCATACTTGACTTCGTATGCTTTTTCTGTTGGAGAGATTCTAGGCAAGTTCTACATTGTTCTACAATGTGCATCGTTCTACAAGCTTACTGGTATAGTCGAAAGCGTAGATAGAACACGAAATGAAAAAGATAAAAAACCATTACATCGCCTGTAAGGTCAACTTCTAACATTCGCTGCGATGTTCATGAACAGAGGATGATAGGAAACGGAACTAACATTCATTGTAATATATTTTTGGTTTGCGTGCGTAAACTTAAATTTCATTTCACGCAACCGAGCAACATTTAAACAATGTTGTTTACAAAGATAGGCTTTTGTATACAATATTTGCTACATTGTTGGTCAGAACTTTACATGATGTATAATGTAAACTTATATGATATGTTACGCTCCATTTATGTGCATCATATTGAACAGAACTTTACACTACTTTTTCGAACTGTGCGGAAAAAGATGATAGATATTTGTAGTAAAATAATCAATCCAGCTCAGAGATCATGATTTAGCCTATTGAGGAGGTCATTGACTAAGAATGTCACTCTAACTGATTTATCCTTTTGCGTGTCCGTTGTCGTCGTTGTCATCAGTTTGGAACGTCGATACAAACCCGGTTGAAATCGTTTGTAGTGATATAAGGGGCCTAGTGACGACCGTTTTTGCTTAGTGAGCAGAAGATCGTTGGTTCAATTACAGGCTCCTTCATATTAAAAAGGTGCGACCTCTTCTGTTCCTAACGACGACCACAAGATTTAATAAGTAGAAGGACTAGAGGACTAGAACGATCGTTATGTTATGATTGCGCTATACAAAATTATCCTACTAACTTATGCTACGTGTGCATCTTTAAAATATGCAAGACAAAATAACTTTCTGTTATAAGCATTGTGGTTGATTGTGATGTTGATAAAGCTGTTTAAAAAGAAGAATTCAATTAGTTTTAAATTTGATTATATTTTAAATTCAAACCATCAAAAATCTCGCAAAATTCATCAAAAATGTATATAAATTGTTATACACTCATGGACTTAGAACATAATTTGTATACCTTGAACTTGAATTTATGATCTGTACTAAGTACAGTGTAAGTTTACTACTTGAGTAGAATTGTTACGTTATTAGAAAAGAGTGTATGCTTGTAATTTTAAAATTGATTTAAGAACTGACTGTGGCATATTCTACTTTCCAAGTTTTACAAGTTTTACCCATCGAATTGCAATGTTTCAAAATAATGATCATGTTTACAGCAAAAATAAAATGAGTACACCTATGTTTAAGAAAATTTTAGAACGCCCAATTTACTGGAATCCTTCCACGTACAACCACTAATTCAATATCTACCCACTGAAATAGAAGAACCATTCATCAACCGCAGTGAACAAGCAGCCTCTTCCTGGTGGCATTTGCCTACGACTATAATCACCAAGATGAGAGGTAGGTAGCTTCACTTTTTCACTTCACCATCATCCACGCCACGGTCGGTGCGGATCAAGTTCATAGAAAGCGAAAACCGGCTCGCCAAACAAATGATTCTATCCGCGCTTTTCATCGTGCGCATTTTTCACCTTCCCTCTTGACTGCTACTTTGGCTATCGTTTACATCGTTCAACCCCCACAAAAGGCTACAGAAGACGACTGCGACGTTGATCGTCATCACGATTCTTCCCCGTTTTGTAACCGCACACGCCGAGTATCAGTCATTCATCATGCTAATTTATGTGCTCTTGAGCTTTCTTTCGCTTCCTCCTACAGACTGTAAAACTGCTTTCAACGAGATGATAAGCTAATAGCGTACCATTACGCAGATAGTCGATCGTGATCATGAATCTCTGCGGCCATCCCGGGCCACGAGCAGCATAATTTGAACCACAACTTAAGCTGAACGGCAATCGGCAATGCCCCCGAAAGGTATACTACTCGCAAGCACAGCTTGCGATCCACACTGAAAGCTTTTTTTTCTGTTTCTCTCGAATTAAGATCCACTTAGCACTTACCTTCCATCACGTAGACTATGCTGCCCACATCGCCCTCCTTGATGATGAGGCTGCCGGCGCCGTACTGCACCGGGTACATGCAGTCCACGATCTCGCGGATCTGCGTCATCTCCAGGTTCTTCATGAAGTCATTGTCCAGGATGGCGGATTTGATGATTTCGCGGGATCTGCGGATGGGAAGAACGATATCGGTGGGTTAGAAATTGCGTTGGATTGTGTTGAAGGTAAGTAGCTGCCATCTCAGTAAGTAGCTTTCGATGAATCGATGGAGACGCGTGGTGTTTGGCAGAATGTAGCTGAGTTTTTCCCTATAAAAAGTTTCTTGGAAATTTAAGTATTTTTTTTTTAATCCTATGCATGTTTACTATTCATGGAGTGGTCTCCAGTAGGTCGGTACCAGTAATTTCATCTATTGTACTGTCCTTAGTTTAGTGTATGTCGTATTACTCCATCACTATTGAGAAATAAAGAAGTAGGGTTTTGGATATAATTTCCGTCCTTCTTAGAACATCCCGCACTTTACTTATCTTTTCTGAAAGGGTTTGAACAAAACATGGAATGTTTTCATCAAAGATGTTTTCATATTATTAAAAAACTAACACTGCTTCTTGCTTCTAAATTCGTCCTACGAGTTTTAATTCCGTCCTAACGCATTGAAACGCCATTTGTATTTCTTCGTTCTACGGATGATGGTAGAAAATGTGGATTCGCTAGGAGCGCTTCTTTTGTTTAGTGAACAATGAGTGTAAATATTCATACAATGCGCTGTAAAAGGCTTCATGTTGTGGCTTATTAACTAACGGATCGGAACAAACGCATTATTGTTTTGTGCATGGTGAAATTATTGATATTATTGATGATTTCTGCTCGATAGAACGGAAATGGGCGATTACGACGAATTAGCGCTCTTGCCTATTCCATTTTTTTTTTCAGTGACCATACTTGCATTTATCGCAAGAATCCGACTCTAATTGAAAGGTCCCGTTATTTATACCCTTTGGAGTGTTGGAACACCCTCCAAAGGCGCGCCCTTTGTCCGTCAAAATTAGTTTTTTTTTAGCAACGAAATTAAACAATGACACCGATAATGACCATGCATCAGAACCCTAGTTTTAACCACTTCAAACTAGGGAACAACGAATAGAAGATTAGGAATCACATAAATGCAGATTAGCTAACTCATTTTTCCTTGTTTCAAGATCATCCTCGGTGGACAAAGCCGAGTTTTGTATCTATCAATAAGGCATACAAAGTAACAATGACTAAGATGTGTTCCTTTGATTACTGAAAAATCCTGTTCCCCTAGTTTGAAGTAGTGAAGCCTAGGAACCGGTGGTAGATCTTACATCCCATAACGTACCACAAAAAAAGTGATCTACCCACGTTACGGGGAATTGTATATGTTACAGTAAGGTATAAGTTTCTGAACGAAATGACGTTGAGATTAGCTGCTAATGCCTGCTAACATTGAAGATACACCCCCTTAAAGATAGTGTTAAAAAATTATAAAAACGGACTTCAATCCTTAAAAAAAAACATATATAGCGGTTTGATTCCTTGTGCAAAAACGTTCATTTTTAAGCAATCACAACTTTGTGAAACATTGAACAAAATATAAAAATAAAAAAAAAGTTATGGAAAGTTAAGAAAGAATTTGGGTACATGACATAAACACAGACCCGGATGGCCATGGGAGCATGCTCAGGAAGATCCGAAACATCTGTAAAATTGGTCAATCCAAGAAAGTGATCCTAGAGCTCCGCGGTTTTTTTTTCGAAAACACTTGGAACTGTGATATAAGAAAGAATTTTGGGTCGTGACCAGAGATGCCAGATTTTTTTCAGAAGTCTGTGAATTTCTGAAATGTCTGTGATTGAGCAGCATAAAATATAAAATTAGCAGAAGTTTTGCGTGTGAGGGGGCTATGGAATAGATGCGAAATTTGAAATGTCAGTAAAAGTCATGTTCGAGCAAAACGAACCTGCTTTTAACGAATTGAACTTAAGTGGAGTTGGAAATGCTTCCATTTACGCCGTATACGTTAAAAGCAATTATTAAAAAGATAAATTACGATTTCACGACAAATGAGGTCGACTCAAAGTTGAGATTAGTTCACTCATATTCTTGAAAACGTAGTTTACTCATAGCCTGAGTAAAACTTTCCGAGCTTTTTCAGGAATTTGTTTTCTAATATGAGTAACATCTCGATATACGATATACAAAAAGTTTGTATTTAGTTTCTATTGGGAATGCACATAATATTTTTCCAATAACAAAACCAATGATATCTATCTCAATTTTACATAACATTCATGTGATAACATGAGTTTCTATATGATAAATCACTTTATTTTCATTTGTGATATCACATGAATTTGCAATTCCCAATTATGATATCCCATATGAAATTCTAATGAATATTTTCTATATGTGTTTTATATTTCTGGAGAGTAAATTTTTCGTCGATTTTTGTCCTATTCGAAAAGATTTATGAGGCTCGAAAAATTTAACTCAGTCTAAAAGTAAACTAACGGCGCCGGTGGTGTAGTGGTAAGCGTGATAACCTCTCACCCCAGCAGGCCTGGGTTCAATCCCAGTCGGCGCCGCCGGGATGTTCTGAGGCATAACATCTCTGATCACGCCTTCCTTCGGATGGGAAGTAAAGCCGTTGGTCCCCGGTTCATGAGTTGATGGGTCGATAGGTAGGGTCCAGGTGTGGGAGCTGCCTTCCTGGCACGTCGGTAGCATTGGTGCTCAGCACGGAAAACAAGATCGACGGAAAAAGCAAACCAAAGGAAAAAAAAAATAATAAAAGTAAACTACGTTTTCTAGAGTTTGAGTAATTCAAACTTAAATTTGGGTTACTTAGTACTGGTCCTTTTGCACGACAGCAGCGGGGGAACGAGAACATCTTAGTGAGAGATTCAACTTTTTGTATGTATGTAAGTTCGAAGGAGTGTAAGTCACTCACTTTTCGCAGAGGTGGTTGGACCAATTTTTAGTGGAACTGGATGTGTTTCAGATCCCCATAGATCGCTATTGATTTTTTTCCCGATCGGAATTATGGTTCCGAAGATATGAACAAAAATGTGAATTCCAGAATTTGCAAAAGATTGATATATCAAAAACTCATCAGGCGACACCTCAAATCACATTAGAATTTTACTATAAAATCAATGGTGGACATATTCAGGCCCAATTATTACAATGGCCTCTTTCAGATGTACCAGGTACCCCCGGGAAGTGGACAGATTCTGACATGCGCCGAAATTTATCGTGCTACACCCCACATGGGACTCAACATTAGTGCAAGTATTTATATTGATTTTCCATAAAACCTCATTGATATTTATTTATGGAAGAGAAAAGGTGCGTATTCATGATCAAAAAAGATAAATTTTGAAACGTAAACAAAATTTCTCAATCACTTTTCTCGACTATAGCGGAACCGATTTGAGTGGAACCACTTTTATTTCGTTTGTTTGGTTTTCCCATAGGACACTAATGAATTTTATCCCGATCGCACATTGGGTTGCGGAGATATGGCCAAAAAAGTTAAATTTTGAAAAAAAATTCAGTAAAATTCACTCACTTTTCTTGACGTTGGCTGAACCGATTTGAATGAAACCACTTCCAATTTGTTAAACCATTCTCCCATAGAACGCTATTGAATTCTATCCACACACTTAATTTTTTTTGCCGAGATGAGCACCACCAGCTAGGCATTTTATTTTGCTGGATCTCAGAAAAAAAAAACTTACCGATATTCAGCTAACAAACGGGAATTTTGCCGAGATCTCAGCTAACAAACATACATTTTGCTGAATCTCGGCAAGTTTTCCACTAAGATCCAGCCGAGCTGCTCGGTGTTGCCTATCTCGGCAAAAAATCTAAGTGTCCTGATTGCACATTTGGTTCCGCACATTTGAGTTTTTTCTGAGACAGTGACTATACCCAAGCAACACAATTTGTCATAAACGGGTTTACATAACTTATTTATGACAATATCAGCGATAAACATTCACGTCTAGTCACTTATATACAACTTATTTATACCGAAAAAAGCGCAAGAGGTGGGATCTATATATAACATATGCTTGACTTGCGCAACTTATTTATGACTATAACGCAACCTACTATATTGGACATGTTGTAAATTAATTTCATCCATCCTACGAATGGAATTTGTTTATCATCAATTTACACAACTTATTCTTCTGAGGAATTTTGTCGTGCGAATAAAGTGCCTAAACTTAGAATCCGTACTGCAAACATTTATGCGGTTACAAATTTATGGTAAATCTATACATTCTACTTCTAAAAAACTCATTGGCTCTTAGAAAAAGCTTTATATTATAAATTGAATTGCATAAAAAATCCTGGATAAAATTCCCCAACTTTGCAAAATACAAAAAAAAAAAAAAAAAAAAATAGAATATCAACTTTCTTTTTTAATTATCTTACTTTTCTCTGTTACAAAACGTACATGTGATGTTGAAAACACAAATTAAATGTTTTTTTCATTCTATACATTGCTTCATTGTTCAGCCATATTGTAGTGCAGTTTGTAGAATGCATTGAGACATTTCATAATTGTTATCAAAACATGTTTATAACACGACAAACAAGAACATTACTTGTATCGTATATTGAAGTTATAATTAGGTATGGCAACTCTCAATTGCCTATTTATAACACTTTTATAACTGATTGTTTTTGATGAAAACTTGCTAGCCTTATATACATGTTATAAATAAGTTATATCACAGTTCCTAATATTTAAAAAAAAAAAAACTGCAGAGCTCTAAGATCAGTTTCATTGATTGACCTCCTTTACGGATGTTCTGGACCTACCAGAGGACGGCCCCATGGTCATTCGGGTCCATGTTTATGTCATGACCCCAAATACTTTAATATATCACAGTTTCAAATGTTTTCGAAAAAAAAACCGTAGAAATCTAGGATCAGTTTCGTGGATTGAGCACTTTTACGGATGTTTTGGATCTTCTGGAGGACGGTCTTATGACCATACAGGTCCATGGTTATGTCATGATCCAAAATTCTTTCTTATATCACAGTTCCTAATGCTTTCGAAAAAAACGCGGAGTTCTAGGATCAGTTTTATGGATTGACCATTTTTAAGGATGTTCAGAATCTTTCGAGGACC